GGCTGGGTACTGTGGTTAAAATGTGGGTATGCACAGAGAGCTCTGGCCGTGCTCCTGTGCCACCAGTTTGAGGGTCAGCTACTGGAGTCCTACACGTCCTGAGCCCTGGCTCTCTCCTGCTGGCAATGGGGACTGTTCTGTAGAAGGGAAAAGGACTGATTTCCTTCTGGGGAGGGTGCTTGGAAAATCCCTAGAAAGCTGCTGTAGGAAGCAGGGGCTGTGTCCCCGCTGGCTCGCTCTGCCCTGTACAGCTACTCTGTAAATAAACCTCGCCTGGCTGAGCAGCAGCCTCGGGGGGGGGGGGGGGGCCCAGAGGGAGCTGGAGAGATGCAGGATGAGAGCTGGTCACCATTTCTCCCCTTCTACCCTGTGCCATGACAGCAAGAGCATCTTTCTCCCCCCGCCCCAGCTGGCATTGGCACAGTGGGAGTACAAACTCCCCTGATAGAGGATCTGGTGCCAGCCTGCTGTGCTCCCATGCTGTCCCGTCAAGCAAGGTGGTGGAGGGTGATGCCCAGCCCGCTGCATGCGGTTTCTGCCCTACACCCCACCAGAAGAGCTTTGCCCTGCATTTCTGGGCCCTTGCTATCCCATGGGGAGGGGGGAGCCCTGCTAGGGACAGAGGGGCATAAACATACGCTGGAAACAAGTCCTTTTATTCAAAGAGACTGCAGGGACTAGTAATTCGTTGCAAAAATAATCTCTTGGCACAAGACAGGGACTTGATTCCAGATCCAGGTGCATCCTTGGTGCAGGAAGGTTCCTGCTAAAAGCAGCATCACAAATGCTATTCTTTCCCCTTTGGAGAACCCATGAAAACCAGGGTGAAGCCTCAAAAATCAGCCTGGAGGCCCTAGCAGACTGTACTTCCAGCAAGACCACCCTCCAGGGATGGTTTTACCTGCCCAGCTCATCACAGCTTCTCCAGCCTCTGTGGCTTTTGGGGCAAGTAGCAGTACAAAAAGGCCACATCAAGCTATAAGGCACCTGCTGGAGCCAGCTGAAGGAGCTGCCTCTGAAGCAGCGTGGATTTCTCCACTGTGGAAGGCAGCTGGCTGCTCTCTCCCCTGTATCTGCTGGGAACAGGTCAGAGCTGAAGACCTTCACACAGCCACATCCTCCGCGTGGTGAGCACTGTCCTTCGGATCGCATCCCACACCCTCCACAGAGAAACCGACAGTGTCCACTTCAATGCTGTGGATGCTGAAGTTGCCCAGTCCCTAGAGAAAAACCAACAAAACAAAAGAGTTATGGACTGGGGCAGGAGCCAGCAAGGGCCCTGTTCTCACCTCCAAGGTCCTACACGGGGGCTAAGGGGACAGCAAGCAATCGCATCCCACTCGTGGTGGGGCAAGATGCAAACTTCTGCGAGCCGCCTGCGACAGCAAGCCGCCTGGGAGCTGCCATCTCACCTCAGTTTTTGCCAGAATTTGGTGCAGAGCCTCTTTCTGCCGAGGGGCTTTGGTTAAGACGTAAAGGAAGCCGCCGCCGCCAGCCCCGGCCAAGCACTGCCCGTAGACATAGGGCCGGAGAGCATCCATCATGCGCCCGACGGCCAGCGGCTCGCACCCAGGGGCCATGCATTTCTTCTGCTGCCAGTAGCGGTCCAGACACTTGCCGACGAGCGGCAGGTTACCTGCAGGAGAGAGGATATTGCAAATGATTTGCCTTTATTTCCCATCCAAGGGGCAGAAACCTGTCCCTGCCTCTCCTGCTCAGCCCATGCTACGTTCCGCCTTCTCATCCACTCAGTTCCTCCCAGCTCTGCCTGCCGAGCAAGCAAACCCAGCCCTGGCACGTTGCTGTTTATATTTAATCCTCCACAGGGGGAGAATGTGGCAGGAGAGAGGATATTGCAAATGATTTGCCTTTATTTCCCATCCAAGGGGCAGAAACCTGTCCCTGCCTCTCCTGCTCAGCCCATGCTACGTTCCGCCTTCTCATCCACTCAGTTCCTCCCAGCTCTGCCTGCCGAGCAAGCAAACCCAGCCCTGGCACGTTGCTGTTTATATTTAATCCTCCACAGGGGGAGAATGTGCTTGCTTTAGAGCTCTGGCTTCCCCTCCGCAGCATCCCAGTAGCTAAAGGCCAAATGAATCCC